GTTATACAGTAGCTCCTTGGGTCACGTCGAAGATCTGTTCCAACGGCGCGATGTAAAGCGATTTTCGTGATCCCAGCCTCCACTGGGAGCTTGGGCAGCTGAGGGCTGTGTGACCATGAAATGATGTATGTCGAATCCGAGGTAACCTGAGGACTGTCTGTATATACTCTCCTGCCTATAAGTTTCTAAGTTCCTCTGCTGAATAATTTGTTACCAGATTAGTTCTCAAGGTCCCTTTTTACTTTGTTGTTACTTTCCCAGATCGCATGAGAAGTACCTGGCAATTATATCTTGCCAAGCCTTGAAGTCTGGCTTCTCTGCTTAGGGAGTAAAACTATCCTTTTTTCCCTTTTCTTAGGTCCAGAGCCAGGCCAAGAGACATTGTGAAAGTTTAAGAAATTTTATTGCATTCTCTCAGCCAACACGGCTGAGACCCGTGTGTTGGTTGTCAGCTCCAAAGGACGTCTAGGTTCTCTTATATAGGGTAGGAGTGTGAAATATAGGGTCAGGGTATGGGTGCATGAGTCAGTCAAGCAGAGAGGAGGGCATGAGTTGGTCAAGGGAGGAGAATGTGGAGGACGGTCAAGCGAAGGGGGATTCATCTTATCTTGCTTCTGCAGGCGCCAGCTGTCTGCGCCAAGCTATGGGAAAAGGCTTGTAATATATATTTCAGAAAACATGTCCATACAGGAGAGATTAAGGGTAATTCATCCTAACACCCTTCTCTCTTCCTTTCTGCATTCTCTCAGTGAGGCTTTTGTCCTTGGCTGGGGAAGATAATCGCTTGTTATTTGTAAGCTGGCTGCAAATTGCCCACACTGTTTGGCCTTGTTTTAACTTTTTATCTCAGTGTCCATATTCCTCCTGCCTTGGAATCCTCCAACAAAAGCACAAGCTTATCATTTTAGAATTCACCTTCTCTTCCCCAGTCCTAGAAGAAGCTAACCATTTCTTACTTGTGACCTCTGTTCGGTCAAGTATGCTTGGCCTCTAGGACACCCTGTTCCTTCCTTAATTTGAGGAATGCCAGTTACTGAATCCCCATTATCTAAGGTTTCTTTGTTTCATTAGAGTCTGAGCAACTTTTCTTCATTTTGCTCCTTTTAGTAGGCAGAGAATGGAGGTTCATGTGTTCCCTGATTGCCTTTACCCAGTGGTGTTTTTTATTTTATATCTTTTCTGCAAAGCTTCTATAGTCAGAGAAAATCCTGGATGATTTTCCTCTATTGTCCTTTTTTGTTCCATCAATCACACTGAAGCTGAAACCGGACAACCGACAACCAGTTTGGTCCTGGCTGCCTGTCACTAATTGAGCCAATACAGCAGAGACAGGATTGAATCATAAATGAGTGTTTATTCCAATAATCCCAGCAGTATGGGAGAGTAGCAGGTCAGCCACGAAAATCTGCTCTGTACACCCCCCACCCCCCCATAAGCCAGTTGCTTATATGGGGTACCTGGACAAAGATAACATGGGGAAGTGGGCAAAGGAATAAGAATGCGTATGATGGTTACAGATTACAGTCAATGTAGGCAATGTGGCTGGGGGTTTGCAAAGGGCTGGAAGCATCCGGGACTCCATTGTTTGCTTTCTGCAAAAAGACTGTTAATCTTTGCATGGTAATAGGCAGATTTGGGATGGGGAGGGTGGGCTACATTTCCAGATGACCTCACAGGTCCTGTGTACAACTCCCAGCCAGGTTAGAATGTGCTGTCTTTAATAAGAACAAAACAGTCACAGTTAACAGAGCATGATTAATATTTCTTACTAACATTTCTAATAGCTGTTAACATAAAAACACTTCAAACCTAAAAAGATTTTTTGTGAGTTTATTTGAGCCAAACTGTCAACAGTTGCTGGGAAGCAGAACCTCAACCGATTGAGATAATGCTCCGAAGAACTACGGTTACTTCTGTATTTATACACTAGAGGCCCAGTGCATGAAATACGTGCAAGAGTAGGCCTTCTTCTCTCCCCTATCCTGCTGCCGGTACCCGGGACGCAGGCTTCCCTTGCAGTCCACCAGTCAGTGCCTTGCAGAGGGAGGCCCCGCCCACCTGCTGCAGACCAGTCAGTGTCCTGGGCCTCCCTCTGTGGAGTGATCATGGGGTGATGGCCCGGCCCCCAACCAATCGCATTGCATCTGCCTTGGCTGGCCTGGCACCAGTGAGTATCATAGCGTGGTCCCGGATGATTGTTCCACTGTTTGGCCTTTTGGTTGATTTGCATATTGCACTTTTATTATATAGGATAGGATTGCAGTCAGCGGAAGGAAGGGATATAGGTGGGTTACATGAAATCCATTAGTGATAGACTAGAGAGGCAGGAGAAAGCAACATGGGGGTTGGGGGGACCCCTGGGATTGGATAAAAAGTAAAATGATAGACACATACTTAGGGTGGGTGCAGGAACAATTAATATAACAATGAAGGAACTTGTGGTATCTGTCCTGGTGCCCAGGCACATTAAGTTGTGCCCCAAGGATCCATGAAGGAACTTGTGGTATCTGTCCTGGTGCCCAGACACATTAAGTTGTGCCCCAAGGTTCCAAAAAAAGGGAAGTTACAACAAGTTACCCAGACATTTCAAGGGTATGTTATTATAGATGCAAAAAGACAGGCTCAGTTAAGGTAAAGGTTGACCTTGTCAGTGAAGATACCGGCCTAGGAAGTAACTACCCACTATAACTGCTTTTAGTTAAAGTTTAATTTCAGACTCTTATTTGTGGTTACTTTAGGTCTCTGAGTTTGCAAGACTGCCATGCAGGCCTTTGTCAGGTTAGCATGTGGCCCCTTTTCGTCCACATAGCTAGTCCCCAGTATTCTATTTCTGCCCCTAATAAAACCACTGTGAACTATTGGCAACTCTTTAGGCTTCTATTGAGTTGCTATTTATCACATAGTGGGAAAGAGGGGCTCATAGAAGAACTGTGTCTTCCTGAAGGGGAATGAAATTTGAGGATCTTTAAAATCTTGACTACTCATCTCTCCATCCTACTACATTGAGAGGGAAGAGGTTGGGCAAAGTGAAAGAGGAATTATGGGGCTGGTCTTGGAGCCTTTCAGTGTGACCATAATTATCTGCCTTTAGGTGAAAACAGTTATGTATGTCTCTACTACACATTGGGCTTCTTTTCAGTTTTGGTAATTAATTTGTAATTTATACTTCTGTTAAGCATTAGGTTCTGAAAAATTTTTGAGAGTTTAAAGTGTATGGCTAGTGAGTGTTATAACTCCCAGCACAGGATTCCTGTCACTAGCCCATTGCCATATATATATATATATTACATACTTGCTGAGTTAACATTCTGTGGAAGAATTCAATGGTTTTTGTGTCATAAGGCTAGACTCCCAAGGTACTTTTCTTTGTCTGCTCTAGTTATTGAGAAATATTTTCTTCTGTTTTTCTCTTCTAAACTGTTGGATAAAATAGTAGTTTGTATATGAATTTTTAACTTGAATATTTATTTCTCACAGAAGTTAACTATAGCTAAAGATACTTGATGTCTTTGGTCTGGCATGATTAGTATTTCCTTTTTAAAAAATATATATTTTATTGATTTTTTACAGAGAGGAAGGGAGAGGGATAGAGAGTTAGAAACATCAGTGAGAGAGAAACATCCATCAGCTGCCTCCTGAACACCCCCTACTGGGAATGTGCTGCAAACAAGGTACATGCCCTTGACCGGAATCGAACCTGGGACTCTTCAGTCCGCAGGCTGACGCTCTATCCACTGAGCCAAACCAGTTAGGGCTGATTAGTATTTTCTGTGATAGGTTTTTTTATGTTTATATGATGTCAAAGACTTATTGGAATAGTTATAAATTCAGCAATAAGAGATGCTTGAAATCTAGACTAATAAGCTCTTTGGGTTGAAATAATTTTTTACTAAGTATTACAGAATACAATTATATGGTTTATCACATAGAATCTTAATTTGTAGGTGTCAAATCTAAAATCTAAGACTATGTATGCTTAAGTATGATGCCCTCAAAAAATTTTACATAGCACTAAAAATTTTTAAAGTTAGAATGGATATAATTTACTTTTGCCTTGAGGGTTTTTCAACTAAAACCTCATAATTGAAATGATCTGCAGCATAACAAAATCAGGACTGGGGATTGTTTAAAAAACTGAATAGATTTTTCAGCTTTCATTAGGATATATGATTGTATCTGCTGCCTTAAAATTTATATCTAGTGGAGAAAATCATGTTCATAAAACTTAATCTTTTATGACCTAATTAGTGGCCCGGTGCACAAAATTCACTCAGCCTGGCTTGCACCCTCTCCAGTCTGGGACCCCTCGAGGGATCTCTGACTGTCTACACCAGCAGTTGAACATCCCTCTCGCAATCCAGGACTGCTGACTCCTAACTGCTCACCTGCCTGATCGCCCCTAACCACTCTGCCTGCCGGCCTGATCGCCCCCAACTGCACCTCTCCTCGCCAGCCTGATCACCCCTAACCACCTCTGCCTCGGCTCTGCCACCATGGCTTTGTCCAGAAGGACATCCGGAAGATCTCCTAGAAGGTCTCTTAGTCTAACTAACATATTACCCTTTTATTAGTATAGATATAATGCCATTTGCAGAGTCATTGAATGCTTTTTGATGCTAATATTAGGTGGGAACCTATAAGACTTTAGGTTCAAGTAAATTTCAAAAACAGATGTTCAAAATTCAATTCTTAGAGCTATTAAGTAGATGTTTTGGTGAATACCCCTTCCCCACCCCAAATCTTCACCTAAGGATATGTTCTGAGAGAGAGAGAGAGAGAGAGAGAGAGAGAGAGAGAGAGAGAGATATTGCCTCCCCTAAGTGCCTGGACTTGGGATCAAACCTGAAAACTTTTGGTGTGTGGGACAACACTGACTTGTGAGCTACAGGTTATCCAGTGTTATTATGAACCAGTTAAACCTTTTAACTAGTATAATGTTATTATGGAAAGCAAACTTAACTTTTTCTGCACCAAAGAATGATAATGGTTGATTTCACATTTAATTACAGGTTCTTCTGGGCCCCTGCTGAAGATCTGTTCTGAAAATTGTGATTAAGTACATCTTTTGATAGAGGAAATTTGTTGCTTCTGTTTATCAAGATGATTACAACACCTTCAAAACATCCAGGAATTCACTTGTCTTCAGAGACCTCTTCTCAAAGGAGAAATATGCCCATTCACGCAGTCTTTTTTGACAGCATTCCTTCAGGAACACTTACACCTGTAAAAGATTTGCTGAAATATCAGAACTCCTTTTTAAAATTGAATGACCAGAAAAAGAATCAACTCTCAGAAATGACATTTTTTCAAGAAAAAAATGTATTTCATTCTACCATGCTAGCAGAGCCTAGCACCTCTAACAGTCTTCTTAATATTGATATCAGTGCTATAAAGCCCAGTAAGGATGGATTAAAAAATAAAGCAAACTATGAATCACCAGGAAAAGTATATCAAAGAATGAAAGAGAAGGTAATGTGTAATAAGCAAGAAAAAGCATCACCAAAAAGTGAAAGTAACAAAATTTTTATGCATAATGGAGCTGAGAAAAGAGTATTGCAGCATACCTACCTCTGTGAAGAAAAAGAAAACAACAAATCATTTAGATCAGAAAACAGCTTATTAAGAGGTTAGTTATATTATGTGTTGGTTAAAAAGCTCTAATGTGTTATTTATTGTGTCTGGCACTGTTTTAGGTACTCAGGTGACAGCCGTGAACAAAATGGACAAAAATTCCTGCCCTTTTGTAGTTAACCCACATTCAGGTGGTGAGGATCAAATACAGTAGGTAATTTTTATGGTACAGTAGAAGTGTTATGGAAAGAAATACGTAGCAGGTTAAGGATGATAGGGAGAGTTAGAGCAGGTTGTAATTTTCAATGGGGCAGTCAGGATATGCTTCCAAGAGAATGTGGCATTTGAGCTGAAAAACTGAAGAAAGTGATAGATACAGATAGGTATCTTGGAGAATGGGGAAGGATCATCCAGACAGGTAACAACAGCTGGTACAAATGCCCTGAAATTTCTGTTATTTCAGGAGTGTGCCTCACAAATTCAAGGACTAGCCTTGAGATTAATGTATCATGGAGTGAGTGTACAGAGCTGGGGAGGTAAGGATAAATAAGAGGGTCAGGTAATGTAGAGCCTTAATAGGTGAATGTAAGAGTTTCAGCTTTTATTGTGAGCAAAAATAGGGAACCATTGGGAGGTTTTGAGTAGAGGAATGATAAGATCTGACTTACATTTTTAAAGTATCACTCTGGCTGTTAATTTGAAATAGTTATTGCAGTAATCCAGGTGAGAGATGGTTTTGGCTTGATCCAAGTGGTAGCAGTGAAGATAAGAAGTGGTTGGATTCTGGATATATATTAAGAAAAGCCAATCACATTAGCCCATACAGGGCATGTGGAATGTTAGAGAGGTTATAAAGGCTGACTCCAGAGGTGGTGTTTTTCTGTTGTTGTTTGGCTTTTTTTTATTACCCAAGCAACTGGAAAGATGTGATTTATCTGAAATGTAGCAGATTGAAGGAGAAGTGGGATCAGGATCTCAGTCATTTTTGTCATATGAATTTCTATATGTCTTTTAAAAATTTAGGTGTAGATGTGAATTAGGCTGTTGAAAAAAATTAGTTGGAATTAAAGGGCATAGTCCAGGTGAGAAAAAATATATTTGGGAATTACTAGTACCTAAATGGTCTTTAAAACTATGAGATGAGATGCGATCATCAAGGAGTAAGTGTAGAAAGAGAAAACATTCAATAATGAGTCCCAAAATTTACAAGTTAGAATAAAGGATAGAAAGTAATAAGGCCACTTAGAAGATAGGAAGAAGAAAAATTAGGATTGATACTTTGGCAGCCTAGACAACAAAATGCTTTAAAGAAAGTCATTAGCTGTGTCTAATGCTGCAAAATCACTCGGGTAAAATAAAGGTTGAGTGAGAATTGACCATTGGGTGTAAGAATGTGGAGGTCATTGGAGACCTTGATTAGGTAGTTTTGGTGGAATGATGGAAGCAAAAATATGATACAAGAGTGTTTAAGAGAGAATAGAGAGAGAAGTTGACAGTGGTGAATATAGACAACTGTTTTTGAGAAGAGCTAAAAAATATGACAAGATTGGTTTTAAAAGATTTTATTGTTTTTAATGATTGGTGAAATAACATTTTTGTATGCTATTGGGAATAATCCAGTAAGGAAGGAAAAACTGAGATTAGAAGTCTGATACCCTCCAGTAGCTGAGAAAGAATAAAATCTAAAAGTGGAGATTTGGCAGCTCTAGCCAGTTTGGTTCAGTGGCTAGAGCAGTGATGGCGAACCTATGACACACGTGTCAGAGGTGACACATGATTTTGGTTGATTTTTCTTTGTTAAATGTCGTTTAAATATATAAAATAAATATCAAAAATATAAATCTTTTTTTTACTATGGTTGCAAATATCAAAAAATTTCTATATGTGACATGGCAGCAGAGCTAAGTTAGGGTTTTTCAAAATGCTGACACGCCAAGCTCAAAAGGTTCACCATCACTGGGCTAGAGCATCGCCTGTGGACTGAAGGGTCCTAGGTTCAGTTCTGGTCAAGGGTACATTCCTCAGTTAAAGGCTCAATCCCTGGCCCTTATCAGGACATGTGCTAGAAGCAGCCAATCAATGTGTCTCATGTCCGTGTTTCTCTGTCTCTCCCCCTAACTTCCACTCTCTAAAAAACCAATGAAAAAAAATATCCTCGGGTGAGGATTAACACACACAATAATAATAATAATAATAATAATAATAATAGTAATATAAAAAATATCCTCGGGTGAGGATATAATAATATAATAATAATAATAATAATAATAATAGTAATAATAAATAAAAGTGGAGATTTAGGAACATAAAACAGATCATCAATCAAACAGGAAGATAGGCAGTGTTGTATTACTTGAGAAATAATCTGAAATAGGAAGTAAATCAGCAGCTGTGAGTGAGTATAGGAAACAGGTATTGAAATTTGAGGAGGTATGGAGGTTTGAATAGTGTAGGAGAGTGGAAGAGTGAATGGTCTAGGCTTAAATTTAATTTTCTGGGCAACATTAAGAACGTAGCTGAGATTTGTGGACATGAATTTAAATAAGACCAATCAGTATGGTTGTGAGTATTCCTGTTGCCCTATTAGCTGTATAGGTGCTGGTGGGGAATAGGCAAGGAGTTGGATTTTAACAGGATTGTAATTTTGCTAAATAGGATGAAGTGAGAGAAAGACAAAGTAGTTGGAGTTGTGTGTGCAAGGTGATAACCACAATTGGCCATGTAATTTAAGTTGGTTAGACAAGGAAAAGAGGACACTGAAAGAGATGAGGAAGTGTGAAGTGGTGTAGGTCATATTGGGATGGTCAGTGGATTTGAGAGAATGATCTGAAAGATAGAAAGTGGTAAAAAATGGGACATTTGAAATTGAGATTTTAGTGAGTTCAGTAATTAATAAAGATATTTTACATCTGTTATCTCATTTAGCCCTTTGAGCAAACGATATGCTAGATGCTACTTTAATAGACTAGGAAATGAAACTTACAAAGAGGTTTTATCTGCCCTATGTGTCACAGATAGTAAGTGATGGGCTGAGAATTAAATACAGGTATCTATTTGAAAGCCCACAGTCTTAACTACTACACAGTAGATTGTGGGTGCATTGTTATGTTTCAAAGATAGTTATATATTTTGACACAAAAAGAGTTCTCTAGGTGAATTTAGGCTGGAGGTGGGGGAGTACACAAAATAGTCTGTTTCTCATACAGCCTGGGAGAAAAGGGAGAAGCAAGTGGAATATGCACATGAAAGCACATATTATATGTAATTTGGAATTAGAGGAAGAAATGAGTAACTGACTGACTGCTCTGATAATCTGATGACTCTTTCCACAGATAAGACACATATATACAACACAAATTTTGTATGTAGTTTCAGAGACCCTCTGCATGGATGTTGATCTCTGAAATAAATGACCCAGGTTATAAACAGCATGTTATATTTGATCAAATTATCTGCTTTTCTTTACTGCATTGCCCTGCCATTTCTGTAGAATAAGTTAAATAGAAATTTATCCTTTTATAGCATGTCATTATAATAACATCTTTATAGCCCAGCTGGCGTGGCTCAGCGATTGAGCATTGACCTATGAACCAGGAGGTCACGGTTCAATTCCCAGTCAGGGCACCTGCCAGGTTGTGGGCTCAATCCCCAGCATGGGGTGT